AAGAGAAACCCAGATGGATTTGAGTTGACTGAATGCCCTCTGGTATCTCCATATTGTCTCTCCTTCCTGTTCCTGATGTCAGGAAGCTTAATCCTCTTGGTTTTAGTGTAGGCTGTAAGCAGAGTTAAAATCTGTCAGACCTGCCTCTGTCTCTTTGCCTTGGATTGAGCTGCCTCTCAACATCTTGAGCTGCTTCTGTTTGGTGTGGTCCAGCAGTGTTTGTATTTCAGAACAGGCTGGTCCTCCACAGAGTTAACATGAATGTTGCTCATCCAAATTGATTCATAATCCATATGCATCAGATGCAGATGGTGAAGAACTGGCAAGGCTTTTGTGAAGGAACTCTCAGATCCTTTGCTTCTGTATCTCTTGGGCTATGGCTAGTGAAAATATTTCCTTTCAAAAACCAACTGCATGCATCTGAAGGTAGTGCTGTCACACAGTCTGAGCACCCTTGCTTGTAGGCTTGTTTTGTTTCCGCTATGCGTGAGCAGTCTAGTGGCTGGGAGGATCTGAAAATTGTTCCTTAGAGATTATTTGTACTATTTTAAGATGATCAGTGACATGACATAAGAAGGAAAATGGGTCATTCTAACAGGATTGTGTAGGTCAGCTATGAATGGACATTGGAGAGTGAAGGTGAGAACCTCCCAAACTTCTGTACTGTGGCTAGGGTGGATGTGTTACAGAAAATCAGAAGACCCAGTGGTGGCAGGTTTGCATCCCAGCACAGTTTCTTTGCTAGGTTAGGTCAGAACTATCAGCCTTAACTGCCCCTGAACAAGAGATCACTGAACCAAATTTTAGGAAAAATAACACAGGTTTTCAGCCAAGGTCTGTTTAAGAAGATTCATTTGCACTTAACAGCTTGTGCATACTAATCTGTACAGTTTGGAAAGAACCAAATTCTCTCCTTTGTCAGAAGGCCAATATTTGGGCAGAGTTATGTATGCTGAAATTGTGTCCAGAAGGCAAGGAAGCTCAGGGGTGAAAGCTGCAGCAGCCAAGAAGCAGTCTAGCTTTGTTAGATTTGGTTTGTTTTAATGGTAATATTTTGTTACGTTCCTTTTCATTCCAGGTATGTAATGAAATGTGTGCTGTTGTACTCTGCTAGAATAACTTTCCTTCCTGAAATATCAAAAGTGGCCCCTGGGGATCTAGCAGGAGCTGGGCTTCTTTCCCCTAAGGATCAGCAAATCTGCAGTGATGTATAGAATCAACTCATATTTTGTGGTTCTTAGGAGTTACCTTATTTTCTGTCTGTGTGACAGGATGTGATTTAGTGTTGTAATGAGAGATGAGGTGTTAGTGGAGAGAAATATGCTTTGGCATCTGCAGATACTTTTCGGGAGAGTAACAGGCAACAGGTAGATTTATCATTTTGGGAATACCCACTTGCACTGCATCCGCTGAAGGGTTGTTGGTATTGCTTATTAAGGCTCTTCTCTAAGAAATGCTTATTCCTTCATCCCCCCCTAATTTTCCATGTGTCCTCCGTATGCTTAAGTAGCAGGTTTGCTTCATAAAGCTTAATAATTTTTTGCTTTTCCTTCTTATGTGTCTGACAAGCAACTACTATAGAGAGTATCCATTACTGGTGGGTTTATCAAGTTGGGCATGTCTGCCCCTGGATGAGTATAGGGACGATGGAAAGAAACTTGTGGTTTTGTTCTCTCCTGCCTTTGAGTGTTTCTATTTTTTGCTTCTTAAAACAAGGAGCCAGAAAGAAACATGCGGAGTGAAATACATGATGGTTTGATTTGGCTTCCCGAAAAGCCACTTGTTATTTTGTCTTTGGCTTTCTCCTTGTAAAAGGAAAACCCAGAGGGTTTTCTAGCAATATCCTGGTGACCTTCTCATCAGGCAGTGTGCTGGATTTGTCTGGGATAATTTTCTTCATAGCAGCTGGTATGGGGCTATGTTTTGGATTTGTGCTTGCAACAGTGTTGTAATTCAGGGATGTTTTCCTTATTACTGCTGCTGAGTGGTGCTTAGTTGCTGTCTGGAGTTAAAATGCAGCCAGGAATGTCTAAATGATACATCCTTGGTACTTTACCAGAGTGTTTTGCAAAGCTTTGTTCGTTGTTACAAGCCTTTATGTGGGCAAAGGCTCATCTTGGCACATTTGAGCTGAAGGATTGATAGGTAATTATAACTAATATTAACTGATCTCAAAGTTCTTTTTTAGCAATATGTGTTTAATAGATATATCATAAGTGGTACTCTGGCAGCCACCTGTAATTTTTCAAAGGATGGTTTTTTAATTGGCCTTTTTGTGTAGCACATTGGTAATGTGTGTTATGCTTTTCCCAAGGCTTTGCAGTATGGATTTGTGTGACAACAAAATGGGGTCAAGATGGGGTGTTGTGTGACCGTGTTGGGCAGTGATGTTGCCACACACTTTCTAGTGCTGGATCTGGGAAAGGCAGCCAGGTTCATAAGATCTACTCTTTTGAGATCTATGTTTATTCCTTCTAATAGTACACACTGTTCCAGTGGTATAGATAGAGATGGTGGAGAAAACTGTTATTTTAAATGGAGAAACTGGCAAAATGTGTGTGTAAAATCTTTCATGTCTGACTTGCTGTCAAGTGGGTAGGAAAAATATTCTTATGGTGCCATGGTGCAACAGGATGTCTCTTGAATCTACTTTAAACACTGATCTGGCACCATACAAACTGTTAAAGAATGAGTATCCTAAAAATACAAGGCACTATGACTTTACACTTTGGAATGACTCTTCCTGATGGTATTAGAGAATTAGTCCAGTGATAACTTAACCCAACTGCTGATCCAAATGTTATTCCAAAATACTAAAGCTGTGGCCTCATGTGCAGCAGTAAAGGAACTTGGGATGCACTGTCCTCTCCACTGAATCAGGGTGGCTGGCTGTGGGGCTGTGCAGTGAATCAAACTAGGACCTGGTCCAGTGGAGCAGTTTTCTTCCCTGTTCCCTGGACAAACTTCCTGCCCGTGGATCAGAAACCAACTTCCGGGGATAGGGGAAATTCTGGCATTTCTGATGTGCATCCTCAGCCCTCAAGTGATTGCTAGAATTTTCTTGGTCTGTGTTCTGGATAAGATACCTCTGCAAAATAGAAAGGAAGTTTACTCTTGTTTTTTACACAGCGTGATTTTTCACCTCGAATGGGGTAGGTGTGCCACTATTAGCTTGGGACGTGTTGAACTTTATGCAGAACAGCTGCATCAGACAGTGAATAGAGACATGGGAGGAAGGGAAAATGTGTAGTTATATTCTCTCATCTTTTATACCGGATTATTAGGATATCATCTTAAAAAATCTAAAAGCTATCATGTTTAAAATCACTGTCAGCATCCCAACCCTAAAGGAGTTCCAAAGATGAGCCTGAGAACTCTATTAGGTATCAAAAATCATGGCTCAGTGAAGACTGATTTATGTCATGTCATAATTTCCCTTTCCCTCTGATATTCTATACGCAGTAAGATCCCCCTCTTCCTTTGGAGACTAATCTCATTGGACTTGGCCTCCCCATCCCCAGCTGACCCTCTCTTAGGTCACTGAAGCAGTCAGCATCATTCAGAAGTTGTTACTGATTTAAATTCCCAGACTTGGTGAAGGACCTATTTGCCTACCCCTAGATGAAGCAGGCACTGGTGTTCAAACCTCTTGTTACCAGCATCCTCAAACAGCTGCTGACTGTGCCACTGCCACTTTACCCATAGCACTGTTTTAAAGCTGTTTAAACCTTGTTGGCCTGTGCCTGGAGAGCTGGAAGGCTGACGGATGTCTGTTGTGAGCTTGCAATCTTGCTAGCTTTTATTTTTTTCCCCTACAGTTTGTAGTCTGAAGTGCTTTAAGTCCTGTCAAAGGAACAACATGGTGCCATTTATTCTGATGTAAGCATGTATTATCACATGCAATAGTTATTTGTGCTGCCCTGACTTATCTGCACTTCTGATAGGCTGCATGTCACCTCTGAAAACTTGAGCTGTGTTGTGTCCATGTTCTACAGGAGCAGCAAGCTGTCTCATGGAGCTGTTGTGAAATGTCTCATTTATCTGAGCTATCTTGACTTTTAAGGTGATTTTTCTCAAGACTTGTGCATGGAGTAACACCTAAATCTACCGGTTTGCCTCCAGGCATGTCAGGTTATTGCTTTAGATATGTATAAACATAACAAGTTGCAACACTCCAGTAGAAAAATGTGCTCTTACCAGCTGCTGTATGCATTCTTGTCGAGGTGATTCTGCCATCAGAAGCATAAACAACTCCTGATTATTACTTAATTATTACTTAAATAAGTTGAAAGTCTCCTGAATGACACACAGAAAATAAGTTTAAATCCCTTTTTTTTTTGTGTCACTGATGAAACTCGGTTTGTACTTTTAGCTCCTTAATTGGGACTGCTTTGCTTTGCACTTAATCCTACAACTAAAGAATATGCAAATAAAAATGTCATGTTCTGTTACTGCTACTGCAGTCTCTGAGGCTGTGATTCTGGGGTAGGATGGTGGCGGTTTGTTTTGAGCTAGGCCATAATAATTACAGGGAGGATTGTTCTAATAATTGTCTCATAACTATGATTTGCCATTTCTTTTCTGTACGTTGATGCCAGTGGGTTTTGCTGTGTTTATCTAGGCTGCCAGAGTTGGAAACATGCTTAGGAAGAAAAATCAATGTAAATTTAGCTTATTTAATATACAGCTTTCTAAGCACAAAGGGTTTGTGGTCTAGTCATGGCACAGCATTTTAACTGTTGAATGTTCAGCTCCAACTGTGGATGAAACAGCAGGAAGCATGAAAGCACAGAAGAGCAAGCACTTCCTCTTGTTAATTTACTTGTGTATTTGCTTGGTGGGGTACATTCTGGGGTTTTGAATAGCTTTTGATCTTTGCTTGCGTAAGAGGTGTTAGTTTTCTTGCACTGCTGTGGGTATCTGAACAGGGTTATTTTATTTCACTTCACAGGAAGAAAATGGCCCAAACTACTGCACCAGCAACATCCATACATGATGAGGATTCCTCTGAAAGCAGAATGGTGGTTACATTCCTCATGTCAGCACTTGAGTCAATGGTTAGTAGAGAAGTTAAGCAGCTGCATCTTTACTCTCTTTTGGCATGTGCAGGATTACACCAATACATTGCCTTCTCTGGGTAGCAGGAAAGGTGTAATTTCATATCTTTACCTTATTATGTGCTGTCCAACCTCCTGTGAACTCTGTCTCTTTGCTTGTGGAAAATCATGCTAACAGTCTTAGCTGTCATCTTGTTTCCTGTTGTGATGTGGTTACTTTAAAAATTATTTGTCAAATAAACAGGAAATAATTATTGATTACTCAGGTAGAGTGTGGTTGAAAGGCAAGAGTCTGTTCTGGTCTTTGTCTTCTATAATAAAGGTTGAATAAATGGTCTTGAAGCTAATGCCTTGTCCTCAGCTGCTGTACCAATTCAACAAAACTTGTTCAGAAAAGACTTTTGTATTAAGTTGGCTTATCACCTGTTTTGTAGAAGTTATTTAATCATTGTGTTGTGGGGTTTAAGGTTGGCCAGGGCTGTGAGTAGAAATGCCTGTCCCATTTCCATAAAGTTGAGGCACTGTCAAAGATCTGGTTCTTTAAAATAATTTTCTTAAATGATAAGAACGAAAATTTCCTTTTTGGCAAACTTGAATGGGATGGTTATAAGATAATTGATTGCAAGCCTTTTTTTCCTATGGGTATATTCAGTTCCTGAGGGTTTTGTGTCACTTTTTCCTCTCGTGCTGCAGTCGGTGTTTTTATAGGTTGCAACAATCTCTGATCTAAGTTCCTAGGAGAAATTGACTTCTTGTGATCACTTCTTGATGATCTCACTAATTTTCTTAGGGTCTTTGCTCTCTCCTTGTGCTGCAGGCTTCCTACTTCACTTCTTTGCCAGAAATTTCTCCCAGCAGAACACACGTAGGTGTTCATAGGGAAGGTGCAATCCTTCCACTCAGAAGGAATTCACCTGAGCCTGAGCACAGCAGGCAGGACGAGGCAGACTGCAGGCAGCTTTCCTGCTCACAACCACACCTTTCTGAACAAACACGAAGTGTGATAAGCCTGCTGTGACTGAACAAATTCCTGTATGCTCTGTTGAAAGTTGCAGTAAGACACTCAATATGATTATCTAACAGGGAAGTGATAATTTCACATGGATTGATGTCATAAATCACTTTAATTAAAACCAGTGCAATCTCTGAGTCTACACAAGACCTTAATTTTCCTAATGTGTCTACAATGCTTTTAAGATTCCTGATGAAAAGTACTTCGGATGTGTAAATTATCCTTTGCTAATCGCTGATGTTGTTACTCGCAGTACCTTCTGAAAGGTGGATGCTGGCAGCAGAAGTAATAACTGTTTTACATGATACCACATACATTTCTATTAACTGTACTCTTAACTATGGTAATAAAAGCTTTTGTTTTTCTTTTTATAGTGTAAAGAACTTGCCAAGTCCAAGGCAGAAGTTGCCTGTATTGCTGTATATGAAACAGATGTGTTTGTAGTTGGAACTGAGAGAGGAAGAGCCTTTGTCAATTCTAGGAAAGATTTTCAGACGGATTTTGTTAAATACTGTAAGTTCCAATGTTGTACTTTCATATTGCACAAGCTGCTTAATGTGTTTTGCATAATACTAATAACATCTGGGAGCAAAGTTCTGTATTTTATGGCTACATGCTATAATTGTATTGACTGTAGCAAAACCAGCTGTTTAAGAACATAAAAATAATCAGTAACAGTGGTCTTGTTTGGAGTGTTATTTCAACTGTGGCTGAAAATGTGGGGTTTTTTTTTTGTTTTTGTTTTTCCTTACATAATGTGACAAACTAGTACAGATAAGTATTAGACTGTCCACCCTCACACCACATCCTGCATTTCCTAGTGCATGTTAATTTTTCTTTGTAACTCCTCCTCTAAGTCTTGCACTTGCAAAGGCTGGATGTGACATTCAGCAGGTATTGGACTACTTCTGTCAGCTCAGATGGGCCTGGTTCTTCAAATCCCTTCATACCTTATTAAAGCAGATGCACATTTTTTGACAAGATATTATGTAGCTTTTTTATATTACTCTTATTTACTAGACAGAAATATGTATTTATATCATAATGACTTAAAATTACATCTGCACTGCACACATCTAGAGTGAGCTTTTTGTTTAATTTCATTTTTATAGTAAAACTGTGGGACTTCTGGTTTCATAAACCATTATCTGTTGAGTACAGGACAGTAATTTTAGGAGATAGGTTTCAAAGATTCAGTGACTCTTTGGAGAATTGGTGTCCTGATTTAGGAAAGTGGTGTTGATGGATGCTGCTCAATAACGAAATTTACCTACTTGCATAGGGAAAAGAAGAAGATGCAGGTTCAAGAAAAGGGTATGAGAAAAGAATCAATCTGAGGGGAGAGTTTGAGCAACAGGTGTAAAATATTTTGGTTTGACTAATTAAAAACTCCTTGGAAAGCAATGATGTTTAATCTGTAATAGAAACATTTGCTTCTCAGAATGCTTTTGTTGCTAGCTAAAATTCTCCTGGAGGTTTTGTCTGGAGGCTATTTGTTCATGGTGAGGCTCTGGCTTTTTGCCTCTGTCCTACTCACTTGGGCAATGACTTTGTGTGCAAAAGTATATTACTCTAAGGAAAGTCACCCCAATGTTGCATTGTAACAGATAAGTGATATCAAAATGCAGAATTACAACCTGACTGAGGCAGTGCTCCCATACTGGTATTTATGAGAAGTGTTAGCTGGATAATGGGGGGAGTTCAGTTTTTCACCTGATCTCCTTTTTTTCTTTGTTGTTGTTCCTTAAAGGACCTCTCTGAGGTTCTAGATACTTTGTTTTATTGCTAGTATAGTGATATTATGGGCCTTGATATACAGGAGACTGCATATTGGGCACGTCCATTGGTAAAGAGTCTGAAATAACTGGGATTTAGTGTTTGCTTGTCCTGGCTAGATCTGGCAGGGAAGCACTGGCTTCTCATGCATGCTTGTGTTTGACTGTATCATGTGCATGTGTTTAAATCTTTAAATCTTGCATCAGAACTGACAATCCTGATCCTTTGCTTTATTCCAGTTACAAGATACTGATTCTTGGGCAGTGATTTTATACTGCCAGGCTGATGAGGTTAAACAATATCCACTTTGGAAACTGGGTTTTCATTATGCTTCTTGCGGAGTATCACAGTGTAGATCTGTGTGAATAAAACTAACTAACTTCAGTCATTGCTATCATGGTTTCACTAAGTGTATATCCCCTGTACTTCCTGGGGAGTTTTGGTAGTTCTCTCCTGTTGCTAACAAAGGTGTTGATAATTCCAGAAAATCTGACTTCAGAACACAAGTTTTAGGAACAATAGCATTACATCTTCCTGGTGATGCTGCTTCCATCACTGCCTTTGACAACTTTGAAGGCTTGATGAAATTTCCAGTGTAATATCTTTTGATCTAAAACTTAGAACTGTGAAGACAACAGTTCCTTCCCCCTAGCACCTTATATCGTCAGTTAAACAGGAAAGCTAGCAATAAACAATGTTAATTGCGATTTTAGTAGGTGCTTTGGAAATGCCCAGGAAGGCCACAGTTCTATGTGGTTTTAATATGTTAGAGTTGGGGGCCCTTTTTGCTCCTTTCTGATGAATAAAGACTTCCAGGCAATTCTTACAGAGCTGTTAGAATGAAACCTTTAAAAATTCAGCTGTGATGTTGGCCTCTGGAACACGTGGTGCTGACAATATGGTGAACTGGCTCTTGTGTGGGTTTCTTAATTTCTCTGTAAGTCTGGAAACAAGTGTAGCTACTAAGCATTCCTCTGGTTATGTGAGACTGTTAGGACAAGCCTGCGTGTGTCTCTCCAGTCCGTCCTTCCACTTTTCCCACAGCTCTTGTGTGTAGTTGGAGTAAATATGAAGAGTTTTCCAGCATCTGGGGGCTCGGACTTCAAGCCTGCTGTATATGTATAATTTAGTGGGCTAAATTGATGAAATGTCCACATGAGGTTTATGAAGGAATTGGCATCTATGCTTTCTAGTAGTATAGAGCACATAGAAATAACAGCAGTTCAGTGAAAGCAGCACTGGGGTTGGGTTTCCTGTGGCTTTCATTTATAAGGATATTCACCCACATGGGTTCCCTAATGCTTAGTGCAGGGGAAGGAGGAGCCCTGCGCATATATACCTTGTTACCCTAAGAAAATGCATTAGAAACAAATTATAGCAATGTTTTGGGTTTGGTGGGGATTTTTAAATAATAGTATGGGTTGTGTGTTGAGTGTTGAAGGACCAGTCAACAGGCATTAATTATTTAAAACTGGGGCAGATAATAGATTCTTCTGAACTGTGCTTAATGAAGAGGGCTGTAAGCCATCTGTTACAGGGAAATAGTATGTTTCAATCAATATAGCCCTGCATTGTGCTTGTATGTATAACGTGTAGCTTAAGTAACCTGCAGTGTCAGTTATTCTAAACCTGTGTAAGTTTGTATTGTAACATAAAAAAAGTGTGTTCTTCCAGTGCCTGCTCATATTCAGAATATGGACAAGCATGGATACTTGTGCACTGTAAGGATTCAAGATCATACACATCTTGCTCTACGAGTGCCTCTTTGTTTTAGTTGCTGTTCCGTGATGAAGTGTACTGTGTGGTCCTCTTGGATGGCCTCAGCAAGATGCAGTGCCTCCTTGCTCTCTGGATTGCTGTGGAGTTATCAGCTATACTGAACAGGAGACTTATTGTTGGCGGATGTCTCAAGAATGCTGTTCCCTTCATGTATTCATTTGCATCATCTTGGCAGTTTCCTCTGAGTTTCAGTTAAGGTTTGGTGTCAGCTCTGTGGAATTCATCGGAATTTGAATGGAACTGGAGGTGGTTTACAACACAAACAAAAAAACCCCAACGAAATAAGAGAGGCATCATCATCCCCAGGTTGTATTTGACCATCAAGTGAATATCAGAAGAGCTTCCTCACTCAAACACCTTTTTGGTCATCTGCTCTGGACTTTCAGAGGTGTGTTCTATACCATCTGCCAAGGAGCTGATTGTTCTCCAAGATTCCTGATTGCCTCTGCTAGCATTTCTACTGGTCCCGGCTGTTGCACCATCAGTATGTAGGTCTCACAGAAGCATAATCCTGTAAGTTCTGCAACTATGCGTCAGTGCTCTCAGTCATGCTGCTTTTTCCTTCTTTGGTGCCAGGGTTCTGGGCTCACTTGCCTGAGGTGGGGCCATCTTGTATCTGTAGATGGTTCATCCGGGATGATAGGTTCTTTATTCTTAGGAGCTTTCATTTTCCTTCTGGTGGCCTCATGTTTCCATGCTGATGTTAACAGTGCATCTGGTATGGGCCAGAGTTTGGCTGCAAGTCCTTCTAGAGACTTTGTTCCAGCATCTTTCACTCTTCTTACCTGTACCTCCATGTCCATCCAGACACAGGTTGCAAGAACTCCTTGTAGCTTCAAGAATGCTCAGAATCCAAGTGTTTTTAAAGGGCACAATTGTTCCTCCTGCTTATGATGAATGAATGGCACATGATGCTCCAAAGACCTTTTGGGAAAGAATGTTCAGCTTTGGCTCCTCAGTATCTTTGCTATGTGGATTACTGTTCTCCTTTGGATATCCTCCATCATCTGCAGGCAAGTAAAATGACTCTTCCCATAAACTGGGCTGCTGGAACACCTCTGGCTAGGCTTCTGTCTCATTGAATCCTTCTGGCCTTTGAGCAAATAGAAGTATTGGGTTTTCTGGGGAATTCTTCTGACATTGTGCTCCCTTATCTCTTTCTCTGTAACTTATGTAATGCTTCAGCATTTGGGGGGGGGGGGGGGGTGAGGGGTGGAAAAAGCAAGCAAAACCAGAAACCTGAAAGGCTGGTTTAAAAACAAAAATTCAAAACTGGCAAGTTCCTAACTGGATTGGCAACTGCTTGACTACTTTGGCCTGCTGTAATGTCTGTCCGAATACCTGCACTTGGAATTTCTGGGTTTGTCCCTATAGTCTAGAGAATTAAGCATCTCTGGCTGAAGCTATACCATGTCTAGGGTCTTGCTATGGTAGTAGATGCCAGCTTCCTACTCCATAGCTGTAGTTACAGCTGTGCAGTGACTGTCCTCACTTCAGGCTTTGGCTTTCACAGGAGCTGCTGTTCACTGTGTAGGAATTCTCTGTAGAGAATGAAGGTTTCAAGTACACAAAAAGACTATAGGGCAATCCTTTGGTCTTCGAGGACATGCAGATGGGATTCTGAGTACATCACACGTACACTTGCAGAGCATCAGTCTGCTTCATCCCTAGCTGTTCATCCCCATAGGCTGGTGTATGCTTGTGTGGGATTAAAGCAAAGTAACTGCCTAGACCTTGCCTTCCCGGCAGCATCTTCCCAGCTGTGCCAAAGAGGTATGATTCACTTCTGTCTCTGCTGTCTGTGTTCCCTTCAGTGGTGGAATTTTGAGCTGTTTCTAAGGATTCTCCTCATGAAATCATACCCTTTCCGTTCACCAAGTGACAGAAATAGTTTTTCCTCACATTAGATGTTAATGTTTAAACTGTGACTACACGGGACAAAGCTACTCGGGTGTTCC